TGTTGCCCTTGGATACAGAAATGATCTGATCCTCTGCAATTGTTGGAACCCTTCTTTGTGTTAGATGGAGGTCCCAGAAGCTGCTGCTTTCAGCAATACCTCTGCCCCCACATTAATGACATACTAGAGGTTGGGCCCAAACAAAAACACCAAGTCAACTGATCTTGATATGTGGAGGGCCATGGCTCTTATTTCAGAATTTGGATCTAGATCCAAATGTCATTACTAGCCTCCCTTGTAGAAAGGGCTGAACCAAACACCCATGTCCAAAAACCCTTGACCGATATCTTTTCACAGTGATACAAGGACCACATAATCCTGCGCAACATATTATTATTTATTATATAAACTGGATATGCCATATGTCCTGTTCGTTACACATTTGTTCCCATAATTTGCATTTTGGGGCAATTTGGAAGGCCACCTTTTAGAGACGCTTGTGCCAGGCTCTCCTTTTTTTGGATACTAAGCTCTGTCAGGTTGATATATGATAAATAACAGAATGAACTTTTCTAATTTGATAGGCATCCCAGTCCTTTCATTTAAAAAAGCCTTGTGCAAAGAATTAGAACGAGGCTGGAGAGCCAGCTTCAAAGACCCTAGAGTGAGAATTAAAGAGTCTGGACTCTTCATCACGTCATCATCTTTCCTGACCTGATACTTTGCAGCTATTCTCTTTACAATGATGTGTGGGAAGGATGGTAGGAGTTTCAATTAATATTTGTATCCCCTTCGCAGGAATCAGAGGACGGGCTGAATTCAGCGATATACTTAAGCATGTGCCTGATTTTAACATAAGAACGGCCATACTGGATCAGACCAAAGGTCCATCTAGCTCAGTATCCTGTCTTCTGACAGTGGCCAATGCCAGGTCAGAATGAACAGAACAGGTAATCAAGTGCTCTACCCCCTGTCGCCCATTCCTAGCTTCTGGCAAACAGAGGCTAGAGACACCATTCCTGCCCATCCTGGCTAATAGCCACGGCTGGACCTATTCTCCATGAACGTATCTAGTTATTTTTTTGAACCCTGTTACAGTCTTGGTCTTCACAACATCCTCTGGCAAGGAGTTCCATAGGTTGACTGTGCATTGTGTGAAGAAATCCTTCCTTTTGATTGTTTTAAATTTGCTGACTAGTAATTTCATTGGGTGACCCCTAGTTTAAGCATTGAAGCCAACGGAACTGCTAATGCCTTTAAAGATAGGCACATGCTTAAGAACCTTGCGGAATCAGGGCCTTCAAAGAGCCCTGAGCCACCGCAGCAGCTGCCGCCCCATCTTAGAGGTCCACACCAGTGCTGCCAACAGCGCCCACCAAACCTTGGTAAGAGGCCACTGAACAAGTGTCAGTCCTCAATGAATCATACGGAGCGAGCACAGGCTAGACGAGGGAGAGGGCACACCAGGGATTGCCCTGTAGTCTAGAAGACAGTTGCGGCATTATCGACTGTTGCTGCCCAGAGAGAGCTTGACGCATCACGAACCTGATCCAAATCCCATCTATGGGGAGTTTTCCAGTCAACTTTGGGTTAGGCCCCATTAGAGGACGTCTGAAAGCCAGCTAGGGTGCCATGGTCTCAATATCATAGTCCAGTCCTCAACACTCCCTGCACTGTATCCTCAGATGTTCAACACCCCCATCCTCCTGCCAACTTTCCCCTTCCACTCAAAAACTCTGCTTGCTTTCTCTTATGTTGGTTTAGTACATGGAAAATGGAACTAATTTAGGGCCAAATTCAGTATGATGGTGACTCACAATGGGCAAATAAATTGGGCTAAATCCATTGTTGGTGGGATACCTCTGAAGTCTGTCTGGTCCTTTGACTTCAATGGGGCTACCTGGGTGAAAATCAGCACAAGAATCTGCAAGCATTTTGGCAAATTAAGTTTTTATTGCATTTTACCTTTATGACACAGGCCCATTAGTGCCAACTGGCAAAGGGTTCAGAGTTCTTAACAAGCAACTCCTATCTCAGACCTGACAAACTCACTCCACCTAATACCCCACTTTCATGGTATTTATCCATCAAGGGTAGCATCAAGATCTACTGAAAGCCTGTGAGTCATAGATACTCATAATCTTTGAGATGTGCGTATGGGTAATATTTAAGGACGAATGTAACAGTATTGACAGTCATACCCTCAGGGTCTTGGAGTGAAAGTGAGTCACCAGGGAATCATGTCTTGGTAATGGCCCATTCAAGCAGGAGAGAATTGTTAACCCTCCTTGGCTGGCTGATTATGTAATATGTTGCTCAGTCGTCCCCCATTCCAACCACCCAGAAAAGTCAATGGAAAGCCATTAAAGACAAGCTATAAACGTTGAAACCCCTTGGATGTGAAAAGGAATAATATGACAGTGAGGGAGTGGCATGTCTGTGAATAAAGGCAAAAAACGGATGCAGTATGTCATAGGTGGGGGAAGACACTGGACATCACAAAGAGACACTTTGAAGGGGCCGGGATGCATCTATTTTTCAACCTGCAGGGCAAAGGTTGGTCTGGTACCGCCTGAGTGACTGACGGGCTGGTTGTGTTAGGGAGTTAACATCCATCTTGCTCTGGAGACAGGTGGCAACAAGATGACTTACAACCCCGGAGCCCTGAGTAGTGTCACAACTTTTGATGCTACAGTTTCACCCACTGTGATTATAGAGTTAATAGATACTTTTGCAATCTTTTTCAGGTTGTGTCATAACCTTTGCAGTTTGGAACTGTAGGTGTTTTGCAGTTAATCAATTTCACCAATATTTCAGGTCATTTCCTTGCACACTGCAGGAGTTGCTGCTGGGTATGATATAAACACAAATAGACAGGAAACCTCAGCAATGTGTGTTTACACCAGGTGAGAAGAAATGCATGACATACTGACGTCTAACGTTCTTTGTTGAAAGGGAAAATTTAAAGTAAAATTCTTAATACAAAACATCTCTTGCAGATGGAATCTGTTTCCTTTTTGCTTGAATAAAATTATTCAGAGACTGAAATAGGTGTGTGTGTGTGTATATATATAATCACTATACACGTATGTATTCCCAGCATGATGAGGTCCTTGCTGAACAACACAGACAATGCTGGAACTGGAACTGTGTGGAAGCCTGTTTGAGTTTACACTTTGAAATTGTTTTGTGCAATAAGTGTCTCCTGTTTAAGAAAGACAGACATGTCCTAGATTGTGACAGTAGGGTAGTTTTGAATTTTGGAGGTTTAAGTGGATTTTGCTTTTGAACACTGGTCCCATTTGTATAGATTGTATATAATAGCCTTTTCCCCAGCTTCCTCCCGGCAGATGAACAGTGCAGCTGTATTCTTATTCTCACAGCCTTTTCTCTTTTGTTGTAAAACAAAACAACCCAGTCTATGCAGTGTTTGTTACAAATGAATTCAGAAATGCTGGGGATAATAAGATCATCAAAGCGTATGGCATCAGGAGACGAATGCGTGAATGAATCAAACTGACACCAGAAAGGGCCTTTTCCTGGTTCGGAAGTCTGAAATAGTCGCTGCACGCAATTATTCAAAAGTGACTTCAACTGAGTACAACTGTGCTTTTGGAAATTAAATTAACTCTTTGAAATTAGGCATTTCAGATGAAAATTTGTTGTATATTCCTTGTCACCTGGAAAATCAATCTGCTGCTGTGGTCCATTAGCGTATACATTGTACACAGCAGCAGCTTGCTCTTCACAACGGCAGGGAAATCAACATGAAACATTTGTTCAATTAAAAAATAAAAAGGAAGAAAAGATGCTGAGCTGGGGCTCTTCTATAACTCCTAGCACCTGAGCTGTTTTTGGCTCAAGCCTTCTAGGTGCTGAGCAGGTAAGTATGTGTGTAAACACTGACTACTGTACTTATGTGCCTTACTTTACGCCTGATCCCTCAGGGAGAAAGGAAGAGTACTGTGGTGATTTAAGGCAGTATGTTAATGGTTAAGTGTGCAAGCTGGTCTCTTGCTTCCAGGACTGGCAGGGGCAGGGATGTATTTTTATTCAGCACTTGCCTTATTCCTACTTTTATTGTTGTTTGTATGGCCATATCCTCTAGAGACCAAAATAAAAATCAGGGCCCCATTGTGCTAGGTGGATAGTCTCTGCCCAAAGAGTTTATAATTGAAATAGCCAAAGGTGTGAGGGGAAATGCCATATGGCTCTTCCATAATGGAAATTATAAGAAAACAGAGAGTTTGATAGGGCCCAGAGGCAAATAAAAATCCCCTACCCCAGGAAAAAAAAGGAAAAGCATTGAAGTTAATTTTTACTTCAGATGCTTTAAAAAAAAATCAAACTTTAAAACTGACCACTTTGTTGCTGTCTAGGCCAGAAGTGGAAAATGCACATAGAAGAGTTTTGAAGGGGGGGGGGGGGGCGGGATGCCTGCAAGCTAAGAGTCCTTGAATGTCCAGCTTCAGCAGAGAGTGAATTTTGATTGCCAAGTTATAAAGCTTTGAGTATAGTGGGTTGTATAATGGGAACTCTGATAGAACCTTTATCTACAGAGGTGTCAATGGCACCTGTTCAATTAGCTGACAAATTAGACTCAACAAAAGACCTGGAAGGCATGTGGAGGATGGTGCTCGTCAAAAAGGTGGCTGCCTCCCTTCTGACATAACAAAATGAAGGGAACTTAATGGCTTCTCTAGTGCAGTATAGAATGCATCAGATTAATCCACTTTTCTTAGATGCCATTTATATTACAGTAGCATCTGGAGGTCCCAACCAACATCGTCAGCCTGTTGTGCTAGGCAGTGTGGATGGTCCCTGACCAGAAGAGCTTACAGTCTCTGTGGACAAAGAGTGGGAGAAGAGACACAGGTGACATGACTTGCCCCAGGTCACACAGCAGGTTGTCCTGACTCCCAGTCCCGTGCCCTCTCCACTAGGTGACACTATCTCCCTGTAGGGTTGATTAGACAGCAGAAGGATTTTTTTTTTAACCAAGGAAAAGAATAAAAACAGACACTTGACATGCACTATTTATATATACTTCTGTCTTGCAGCATATTTGTGTTTCCTAATGACGGCTCTGGGGGTGACAGCTGGTGCACATCGTTTGTGGAGTCACAGGTCCTACAAAGCCAAGCTGCCTTTGAGGATATTCCTGGCCGCGGCCAACTCCATGGCTTTTCAGGTAGGGATGAGGTTGTCAGGTGTGACCTTCGGTCTTTGTGCAGTGTTCTCTTCAGGCCAGTCAAGGGTCTCTTATGTGAAGAGAGGCCAGCTATTAAAAATTCCAAGTAAACCCAAACGTCCACCTATTTCTGTACTGTGCGAAAGCAGGGCTGCAGTGATCACCTCTTTATTTGTACACACCATCCAGTGCAAGGGAAAACCTGATCAGAGCGATGGTCCATGTAGTCCAGTATCCTGACTCTGAAAGTGCTCAGTACCAATGCTTCTGAGGACAATTACATGCTACCATGCCCATATAATAAAGTTTCTTCCTAAAACCAGGCCACTAGAGATTGACTTCTGATATCATTTAAGCTTATTTTTATCTTAGTTAATAAAACAACAACATGTTGTGGTTTTCTACAGCAGATTTACAAAGGAGGTATAATTAGCCCCATATTACAGATGGAGAAACTGAGGTCCAGGGATATGAAGTGATCTGCTCAAGGTCACACAGCAGGCAAGTAGCAGAGCTGGGAATAGAACCCAGGTCTCCTGAATCCTAGTGCAATGCATTATCCACTAGGCAACACAGCATCACTTACATTTATTTCTTTAGTGTAACTGTAAATAATCTTATTACTAATATAAATAATCTGTCCGCTTCAATAACATCTTGTGGCATTGAGTCCCACAGGTTAAGTTATACTTTATGAATGAACGCCATTTCCTTTTATCAGTTTTCAGCCTGTTTCCTTTCATTTGGATTGGCCACCTTCTACTTCTTGCATTATGAGAGAGGGTGAATCACAGCACCTTACGGACCTCTATCTATACCATTCATTATTTTGTATACCTCTCTTATTCATCCTGTTCTCTAAACTAGATAGCGCTCCTCTTAATCTCGCCTCCCAATACAAAGAGCACAGCAGAGCTGTTGTTTAAAGCAGTTTAGGATATGTTTGATTTGATCATACTGCCCTCGCTCCCTGGATGAGCACTGGCTGTTTTCTGCCACTCCACTGATGCAAAGCAGCCCTGCGAAGTGCCATGACATTGCTGCTTGGTGTGTTGAACAACAGCTCCACTTTTAAGTTGAATCAATGAACAATCAACAAAAAATCAATGCAACAGCTGGCCACTATTCAAAGGAAATCTTCCCCACTTAATTGCTGTAGACCTGCGTCCACCTCGGATCTGAGCGATCAGGATTGTTGTGGTTCTTTTGAATTCTGCTTCCTGTGTTCCTGCAGATTTCCCACTTGGATGCGTTGGCCTCAGTCATCAGCGATGGCTGAGGAGCGGACAGTGCAAATCCAGATAAGTGGGGGGCCTAAAAGTGGCTTTGCGCTGCCTTTGCACCCCTATTTAGTCACAATGGCACCATCCAGGTCACCCAGTGTAAGTTATACTAGCCTGAGGGCTGTTCTAATTCACTTCAGCTGTGGGGGGCCTGTGGCAGGGTCAGCCTCCACAGCACCCACATGTGGCTTACCACTAGGGTGACCAGACAAGCAAGTGTGAAAAATTGGGATGGGGGTGGAGGGTAATAGGAGCCTATATAAGAAAAAGACCCAAAAATCAGGACTTTCCCTATAAAATCGGGACATCTGCTCACCCTACTTGCCACTGCACTACTCACCCTGCCTCAGCCACACACACCCCCAGCAGTGGTCTCCCTCAGCACCACTGGTGAGGCGCTGGTAACAAATGTAGACACTAGCCCCATGTGCAACATAAACAGAAGGGTCTACTTCTCCTCCTGGCTCAGCTCTCAGCTCTTCCCCATTCTCCCACAGAGCAGTGACTCAGGACTTCTCCCCACTCGGGGAATTTCCCTTCTTCCAGAGCCCGTCACAGAAGCCAGCCTCCCTCATGCAGCCCTCCTTAGTCTTTCCCCAGGCATGCTTGGGAGTCCCTTCTCCAGGGCCTACCCAGAGGAACCAGCCACCCTTCTACAACTCCCTGCCATCCAGCTGAGCTCTCTCAACCCTTTGTAGGCATTGCATGATCACTTCCCAGCTGGGATGGATAACTGGACAGGGCCTTTTGATCCCTATCCAATCAGGATCAAATGTCTGGGGTGGAGGGGTAGCTGATCAGTCACAGGCCATGCTGAGCCCTACTCTCCTTAAAGAGCCAGCAAGCCAGTGACAGGACTATCATCGTGGTTGCCATGACTGCTGGCCATTGCCCTATGTTGGCTTCAGGGACAGCAGGTAGCATCGGAGGAGCTACAGCATCCCACCATGTCTAATATCTCAGGCTTGGTCTACATACCCCCCTAATTCGAACTAAGGTACGCAACTTCAGCTACGTGAATAACGTAGCTGAAGTTCGAAGTACCTTAGTTCGAATTAGTTCAAACTTACCTTGGTCCACACTCGGCAGGCAGGCTCCCCCGTCGACTCCGCGGTACTCCTCTCGGCGAGCTGGAGTACCGCAGTCGACGGCGAGCACTTCCGGGTTCGACTTATCGCGTCCAGACTAGACGCGATAAGTCGAACCCAGAAGTTCGATTTCCAGCCGTCGAACTTGCGGGTAAGTGTAGCCAAGGCCTCAGTATAAACACATCTCCACGGGCACTGTGGATTCTACTTCACGCTGTGTGCTATTGTGGCATGATGTCTCTCTTGCACAAATCCTATCAGAGGCAGCAATTTTATCTCTATAGTTCCAGTAGACTTTTATGCTCGGAGGTACTTGAGCTGTTTCTCTTGACCTTGACCATCCAACTAGAGTTACTTTCTCAAGCTCTTGTAAGGTTGAATCACTTTTTTGTTTCAGAAATGGGGCAGTAGCTGAGTCATATTTACTTCACACTCCTCCTGTTTCTCAGCTCCTTTCTTTCACTATGTCAAATCCTACTGAGTGATATCCATTCTTACTGAGATGTGCCATTGTGACTCCGCATGGGTTTGTTTTTGCCTACTGTATGAAACAAACTGGTTTTGAACTTAACATCAGGCAGTCACTAATCTTTTGCTCTGATTACCTTGCACTCAGCTGCAGCTATCTATCTGGAATTTCAATTTAGTTCATTTATTTCCTATGTCACAAACCAACCTCTTAGAAAACCTCGCTTTGCAAGCTTTTTAAGAGAGACAACCAAGACATCTGGTCTGCATCTTCCTCATGGCTTTGTCTTCTAGCTGTATGTTCGTGTGTGTATTTTACTCTTGTATTTACTTCAAATGTGTGCTAATGTTTCCTGCTATTACATGTATGATGCCACACTCCTCGTGTCTGACACGTTTACATATCACGTTGTGATTGCCTCTGTATTTGTTACAAACAGTTCTGGTCTCTGCTGTTTTATTTGCCCTTCTATTCTGTCATTATGCATTTTTTAATTAGATGCACTTCAGCTCTTTCGCAGATCACTAAGGCTAGGTCTATACTACCCGCCTGAATCGGCGGGTAGAAATCGACCTCTCGGGGATCTATTTATCGCGTCCCGTGGGGACGCGACAATCGATCCCCGAATCGGCGCTCTTACTCCACCAGCGGAGGTGGTAGTAAGCGCCGCCGACAGAAAGCGGCAGAAGTCGATTTTGCCGCCGTCCTCACAACGGGGTAAGTCGGCTGCGATACGTCAAATTCAGCTACGCTATTCACGTAGCTGAATTTGCGTATCTTAAATCGACTCCCCCCTGTAGTGTAGATGTACCCTCACACTTTCATTTGGGGAAGCACATTTTTCACTAGCCCTGCAAATATCCACTGGTCTATGAAAAGCCAAGTTAATTTCTTGCACTAACGTTGCTTTGAGCTGGTTGTTGGCTAACCTACAACTAGCTTTATTATGTAGGCCTCTAACATCGTGATCGATAGTTTCATTTAGTAAAGAATATGTGCCTTTCCCAAGTGACATTCTTGTCATTTGTAAATGACTTTGTCTAGCACTCCTCAGGCCTCGTCCTGCTCCCACTGGAGTGTAATGTAAAATTCCAGTGCCTCTGGACCTGCCCCTTTTAGCATTATGGAGGATTTCAGCCTCTGCGGTTTCTCTGCAATGCTATTTGCTTCCTGTCAGATTTGGAAGCACTGCAACTATCTCCAATAGTTGTCAGCCAGACTGAGGTTCAGGTGACTTCATATGCTTCATTTTCACCAAAGCTTTAGTTTTCTTCTGATATTATGTAATAAAGGTGTGACAGACAGGAATGCTGGAACGAGACTTGTTTGTATTTCCTGGTCCCAGTCACCTGACATGGGTTAACGTTATAAAAAACTAATACCCTTGTCACATGACCGGAATCAGGACTCCAGTGGTTACTGCTACATTAACATTCCCATACAAATGTCACTTAGTCTCACTTTACTACAGTCTGGGGACAATAGTCTAGCTGAGTTTTTCCAGTGTCTCTTTGTTCTTTAATTCTCTGCTGGAACGGAGGTCGAAAGGAGTTATTTATGTGCAGTCCCGGAAGTCTTCCAGATACAAGTTTAGGATGATGAAATTTTCTTCATTTACAGATTTGAGGCAGGTTCTTTGGTTCTATGGCCCACTCTCCCTCAGTAGTACTACTTATTCCCACCATACAGTCTCTCAGAAGTTGGCAGCTGATATACAGGGCAGTGGATGTCTACCAACTCTGGCCACAAAAGCTTCTCAGTTCACGAAATGTGGACCTACGCAGTTGTCTTCTTGGACTTACTGCATTCTTCATCAAGAATGGTGAAACGTACACTCTCTTTGTTCTTGCCTCATTCTGGATGTTTCACAGAAACCCCCAGCTGTCTGTCTGCTCTCTTCTCCTGCTGAAAAGAGAGCTGCTACAGCTGACAGGGATGATACTGTTGCCCTTCCTGAAACACTTGCTGCTTTGGATGGCGTATGCTGTATTGCCTTCCACGTCGTGCCAAGAGTGGGAAGAAAGAAGAGGCTGCTCTGCTGAATGGTTTTTGCTTAACACACTGCTATAGATGAGAGCACAGACTAACATCGTCAAACGGGGGGGGCCTAAAGTTAGGAGCCCAAATTTATAGTTAGGCACCTAATAAGTGGCCTGATTT